ACACAATTTCCTTTTGATTTTTTTCATCATAGCTTCTTAGTGCAGACTGTTTTTCCGCATCGAATCTAGGACTGTATTATGAATAAATGAATGAATGTTTATTATTATGAATCAATAAGTTTACAAACATAATTTAAAAATATACTGATATGGAAACATCCAGTATATGGATTTCCAAAAAAATATTCTAAAAACTACTAAATCTCAAAACTGGACGAGATCAAAATCTAGAAAAATTAATGTTGTATAAAAAAAATAAAAATAATTAAAAATCAGTTAAAATGAAAAAAAAATATTCTATTTCTCGGCTTTGGCTGCTCTGCTCCTGCTCCTGATGTTGGTTTTTATTTTAATTCTGGTCTTCCTTTTTTATAATCTCCTACACTCCTACCTTCTGCTGTTTCTTTTCTCTGCCCTGGCTGCTCTGCATTATTTTGAATCTTAGTTTCAATTAAAAACCTTTTCTTTACCTTTTTAACTTTATTTATTTTGTAAATTAATCCATGAATTATTTTTACAATCTTTTCAAAATTTTATAAAATTTTCTGACAATCTAAATTCCCTGTTTTTTCCAAAATCTCATGACAATTCTCTAAATATCTCAATTTCCAATCAAGAATCTTTCTCCTATAAAATCTAAACTCACACATTTCCCATCTAACATCTTAAAAATTCTAATAACAATTTATCATTCCAAAAATCCAAACAAAACATCCTTGATCATTTCACAATAATGTTTTTCTAGACTCTAAATCGTCCAGCTTTGCTAACTTCAATTTTGACATATTAATTTTAAATTTCGTTATCTGGAAATTTTCCTTATCAAATCCCCCAAATTTAGTGTTTACATATTATTATTACTTTTAAATATAATATTAAACACACAATTTCCAAATAATTATCTTTAAATTATCCAAATAACCAAAAATTCCTCTTCATTATTCAGATATTTTAACACATTATTTTTTTTCCTTTCGCATTGTCCACTACAAATGGCCCTTCAAACGGAAACACCAGTCTCACACATATCCTTTTTTTATTATTAGATATTCTTAGTGCTCTAACAATTACTAAATCCATTGCTCTATCTATCTCTATTATATTAATTTTATCTATTCAATTTCCAAGTTTATTTTTAATTTCCCTTCCGTCCCCCATCTGAATTTTACTACTTTGCTTTCATCTTCGTTCTCACTCTTTCTTTTTTGTTAATCTTCTATTCTTCCTTATTTCCCCCAATTCTTTCCTAAATTTTATTTTCGTTTTTGTTTGTTTTATATCTTAAACTTTTTTTTTAAATTAACTTTAGTTTTTAGACTTTTATATTTCTTTTTCCTTCCTTCGTTTTGTTTCATGGTTTTCTCTATCTTATTTCTTGCTTTCTTTCTGAATTCTTTTTCATTTATTTTTATTTTATTTTTTTTTATCTTGCCTTTCATTTTCCCCTTTATTTTGTTTTCTAATTTCCTTTATTTTCTTTCTAGACCTTTTTTTTATTTTTCAATTTTATTTTTACTTTTAACGCTATCAACACTTTGTTCAATGACACTTATTTTTTTTTTTATTTTATTTCTTGTTCTCTCTTCTCTTGAGAGGATTTCTTTTCTATATTTTCTAGATTTGATATCCTTTTTTTGATCCTCTGCCTCCGATACTATCTTTTCCATATCTGCAGATATTTTTTCTTGTACTATTTTAAACTTCCTATTTTGTTCATTTTCTACTTTATTAATTCTTCCTATCTTTTCTGTCCTTAAATTTCTTCAAATTTTACATCTGTTTTCACTTTTAAGTTTTCAAATTTCTTCATTAGTTCTTCTTTATCTTGTTTCCTGTTTCCATCCATATTATCCAATTTATTATATATTTCCATAGAGTTTTTCTTTATCTCCATAGACATTGTTTTATTGGTTTTCTTCATTTTCATAGTTTTTCTTTATCTCCATAGACATTGTTTCATTGTTTTTCTTTATTTCCATTATTGCCGCAAATATGCTCCTTAAAACTCCCTCATCTTCCTTGTTACCTCCATCTGCCTTTTGTTGCTGCCCTGATTCTTCGTTTTTTTCTTCCATTCCTGTATTATCTAAATCTCCTTGTCCTACTTGTTGTAAATTCTTTTCCTCGTCTCCTGCATTATGTTCCATTGTTCCAAGCTTCTTTCTTCGTCCCAAATCCATATACTTTTTACACTTTCACACTTTTATATAACCCTTCTAATCAAATTTTTACTTGTCTACATAAATCTTGTGTACTTTTGTGTTCTCCCTAATATAATTTTACCCCAATTTTAAAATTTTCTATCCTAAATGATTGAATTTATTTAAATAACATTCCAATTTCGAAATAATATAGACCGTCTCATACACTATTCACACTGTTCTTACCCCAAATAAAAGAATCAACAATTTAAATATAAATAAAAGGTCTTACCAAATCTTGTTATCAATTTGTTTAATGAAATTATTTTTTTTAGATTTATTTTTATTGTTTGTTTTAATATATTCTTTTTTAAAAATAATTTGCATCATTGTTGTGTAATGATCTGTAATGGGAGTTGAAATATCATAATTATTACTTTGTGTATGTATAAACATGTGATCTAAACAAGTCTTGGAATCCTTTTTCACTCTGGTAGGTGTATTTATTGCAGACATATATCCATATTTACTTAAAATATCCAGCTAATTTTTACATTCCCTTGTATTTTCTAGTAAGTCAATATTAATGTCATTTACAAACAAGTTATAATCGCATTTTTCATTCTGTGATTCTAAAAATTTATTTAATTCGTTACAAAACATATCCACATTGGTATTTGGCGACCTATAAAAAGAATTTATTATAATAATTATTTTCATAATTTATTTTGGTTCTAAGTAGATTTGTGTTATTTATTTGTATTGTCTATTGAGATATATATTGTTCATTTTTTACAAATACTACCACACCATCATTTTGATTGTAAGTTCCATAATTATATAAGGTTTTGTATCCTAAAATATCTGGGATCTGCCAAGTTTCGGATAAAACTATACAATCTACATTATCTGATTCTAACCCCTCAATAAATACTCGAAACTCATCAAAATTATGTTATGAATTATTTTAAAATTTGAGGATGTATTATTTACATCTAAAATAAAATTGTTTTTACCTCACTTGATAAATTTAGTTCAAATGTTTCTAGTTTTTCCATAAGAAAACTCATCAATGTATGGATCCATTTTAGGTTAACTTTATTAGTCGGTTCGCTTAGGTTAAAAATGTTTTTTAAAAGAAATACAGACTAACAACTAACAGATTAAAAATATTTCGGGTAAATGCGACAGCGAGACGTAGTTTCCTTATTTTTATACCAACCAATCTGTGAACATTGTAATACAGTTGCTCAAACATGTTTCAACTATCGGTTAACAGAGGGCGCCATTTAGCATCATCTAGACTACAAAACAGAATCGGCTACTGTGACGTGTCAAATAAACAGGTGGTCTAAGTTTGTTAAGGTTTTTTAAATCTACGATCATCTGCAATTGCTTATATGTTTTGGTAAGTTTTAATATGAACTCATGTTTGGCTTTAATTAAGGCATTTAGCCACCAATTTATTCTTCTTAATTAAGTTCATTTGCAAGAAAAAAAAACATGACCTACGCACTTAACCTCAAAAAACACAAAAGCGGGTAAGTGCGAGGTTACCGGTTTTTTCTAGTACGCACTTCCCCGATAATACATTTTTTTTCTTTACAGGTCACAATGCCTTCAAATTATGTACGTAAAACTAATAAAGGCGGAAATTACACTAAGGCGACTCTGGAACAATCTGTAGAAGAAGTAAAGTCTGGTGTTTATAATGCATACAAAGCTAGTAAAATATACAAGATTCCCATGACTACTCTAATTGATCATGTTAAAGGAAGAAGAGGAAAAAAATCTACTTTCGGCAAATCAACAGCTCTGTCATTAGAAGATAAAAAAACAAAACTAGTAACGGGGCTCTCTTATATGGAAAAGTACGAGTAAAGAGGTGCTAGAATTAGTAGGAAGCTATGTAAAAGAAAAAGGATTAAAAACGCCGTTTAAAGATGGGGTTCCTGCAAAAGACTGTTTCATCGCATTTAAGAAGAGATATAATCTTTCATTGAAAAAACCACAGAGCATTGGATATGCCCGTTAAAAAGCTGGCGATCCCTTCATTAACGCAAGTTATTTTGACATTTTAAAAAATACGATGGAAGAAATTAAATTTGGTGGATAAACCCGAACTCATTTGAAACTTAGACGAGACCAGCTTCTGCAGAGATCCATCAAAAACCAAGGTCTTGGGTCAAAAAGGGCGTTCTGCAACTCGCACAACGAGTTCTTCTGGTAAAGAAAACATTACTGTACTTTTAGCATGTAATGCTGCTGGAAGTTAAGCCCCACCGCTGATCATATTCAAGGGGAAAAATTTGGGAACAATTTATAGCTCCAGAAAACTCGAGGTTCCATGAAACAACATATGCTGCCACGAGTAATGGGTGGATGGAAACGTCCGTGTTCAAAAATTATTTTAAAAATAGCTTCTTGAAAACAATTGGTCCACAAAGGCCAGTATTGCTGATATATGATGGCAATGCAACACATCTCGGTCTCACACTGATAGAAATGGCAAGGGATGAAAACATTGTGATTTTAAAACTTTTACCGCATTCCAGCCACTTACTTCAGCCACTTGACTTATGCGTTATGGAGTCTTTAAAGGTTCGCTGGGATGCAAAACTCACAACATGGCAGAGGCACCATATTGGAGTGAAACTATCAAAAAAATAATTTTCTAAAATGATTGGAGAACTATGGACTGAAACCAACAAAGACGTGATACAAAACGAGTTTAGAAAAGGTGGAATATTTCCATTTAATGACAAGGTTATTCCAGAAGAAAATTATGATCCCGCTGCCCTACAGCGATGAAAGAGCACAATATTTCCGTTCACAGCAATGATGACAATAACTTACCAGGGTACTCTTCTACCTTCAACAGAGTAACTGAAACCAGTGCCCTCGATTCAGATCAACTTCATAATATACCAACCGCAAGTTGCTCTACTACTGCTCAGATAGAAGCAGAATCGAATATAGATGTTAGTTTTGAAAAATTGCTTCTTGCTACTATGAAAAATCACACTTCATATGAGAAAGTAAAGAAAAAGCGGGTATGTCCAGGTGCTGAGGTTATCACTAACGATGGTGCCATACAAAGACTTAAAGATAATGAAATTAAGATGAAAGTTAAGCTACAAACAGCCAAGAAGAAAAATAAAAAAATCCAAAATTGATAGTTCGGATGATGAAGAAAATGCTGACAACTTCAGTCTACACTAATCTTCCAGCGAGGCATCTTTATCTACACTTTTAAGAAAAGAAGCAGAAGAACGCCAAGAGGAAGAAGAAGAAGCCTTTAAACCTGTGACTAAAAAGCAAATCGACGATTGGGCAATTGTTAAATTCTGTACAAAAAGTCAGTAAAATATTTTGTGGGTAATATTTTGTCACTTAATGACTATGGAGAAGCTGTTGTTATTTTTGTTAGGAAAGCGTCAGACCGTGCAGGTATAACGACTTTCCATTTTTCATCTCAAGAAGACATTACAGATGTTATGGAAGATGACATAATCTCCATTTTGCCGAAACCAACCATTGGACGCAGGGGAGAAGTGATTTTTTTAGTATAACATATAGTAGTGTTTTACAAAATAAAGATTTTTAATTTCTGCAAACACCGATGGTCAGCATTTTCTTTGAATTTTACGCACTTACCTTACCGACTGTACTGCATGTTCTAGTGCGAAGCTACGAACTTGTTACGCACTTACCCTAAGTGCGTACTAGTAACATAATTTTAAAAAATAAATCACAAAAAAATATAACCATTCTAAATGAGAAATTAAATGGTTTGCTACAACCAGGTAGGTCCTTAAATTAACGTATAAAACGCTCACTTGAATCTTTTAAAATGTGTTAAAAAATATGGGTTGCAAAGTTAAACTTTGCGAAAACTAGTGCGCACTTGCCCTAGTTGACCTTAAAATAATATAATATAAAAGTTTAGGAAGTTTAGGAAAATGTTTAACTAGAATTTTTATTTTTTTATTGTAGTTTTTTTTTTATATTCACGTATAAAAAAAGAAACCTTGAAAACTTAGTTTCTTTCAGTCACGGATTTCTTCTGGTTTCTTGGCTGGTATTTGAATATTCCGGGAGGTGTGACCGAGTCAGTACTAAATTAGAATTTTTTACTACCGTCCAAACGATAAATTGCTCTTCCAAATGGCCTTTGACTATTCCGAACAGGCAGTACCTTCATGGCGAAAAATAATGAGAATAAAAGTGAAACATAACTTTTCATAGTGAATGATAATCATTAATTTAAAAATATTAAATAAATGTTTTCTACGAATACATGCATAACAGTTATCAAAGTTAGGCAATTAAAAATAATAGTTATACACATATTTTTTATTACGTAACAGTAGCCTTTTGTATTTTTATATTGCGTACGCCAATGAAGTATTGTTGAAAACTGAAAGCCCGCGATAAGAAACTTTATTAAGTTCGGTCAGCAAGTGGGGGCCTTTTCCGAAAAGTTTGCATGAAAACAAGCCGGATGAGGAGGAGTAGAACAAGCAAGACTAAAAACCCTAAACCGCGGAAAGTTGTTTATGATATCTTCCATTTCATTCTGAACATGTTGGGGTCGTTTAAGGTGTTCCTCCGCTACCGGCTATATAAACAAGTCAAAGTTTGCTGAAGCGCAATATAACTCCTCGAGAGAAATTGCGAGGATAAAAAAAGAAATAAACTTAGTAGTTCGCTGAAGTGTTCTATATAAATAAGGACTCGGTTTTGCTACTACTTACTTCTCTGGTATAAAGTCCTGACAATCTAGCAAGTTTTGTGGTCATCTTTTTACTTTATATACAACAGTTTCGTTTGATCCAAGAACAAACGGGGAGAAAAACTCGATAAAGGTTTCTTTGTTGCGGAAGAGGTTTGTTGCAATGTTGCCAAAGTATTCTTAACTAAAAATTGTAGAATTTAAATGCATAAAGGATGAATTTCAAAAATACCTATTCAAATAAGATAAGAAAGTCCTTTGAAATATAGATTTTTTTACTGAAATGCCTTGTTTGCAATTATATTTTATTTCAATATTGTAATATTTTATTTAAAAAAAAAATATGAAATTATAATAATCCAATCAATATAAACATTTCAAATAACAAAAATTTTGACAGAGTTAATTTTCGTAGAGACCTTAGGTACACCAGTAGAAATAAAGTGCCAAAAGTAAAAAGTTTTTTAGGTTCTCTTCTAAAACGGTAAGTTTTATCAAAAATATACCTCAGATAAAAATTGTAGATCATAAAATTTCTACAAAAATTTTTCTATACTTTTTTTCCTAAGAATCACCATTCCCAAGATATCGCCATTTTAAAAGTTGAAGGAGTTATATTCTGCATGATACGTTCACATTTGGCGCTTTTTTTAAAGTTGTTTCCCCTGTAAGCAGGGCCTACGAGAGGGGGGGGTAGCCGGGACAAAGTCTCGAGGCTCTCGCTCAAGTGGTGGCCTAGCAGCGACATAAAGGGGGCCCGGCAGCTTTAGGTGATGACGTTTTTTTTTTAGAAGTTCGCCACAAGAACACCAAAGAGAGGACATTTTTTAAAGATTTCAGTAAAGAGGAAGAGAAGTTTTTGCTTATAAAATTGTCGCGGGGCCCCACCTGGAAAATTGTCTCGGGGCCCGACCTGGCTCTCTGTGGCCCTGCCTGTAGGCCTATTCCACGATCTCTTATGACAGAAGTTTTATTGGAAAATACTACATTTACTGCATGATATTAATATGGGTTATTATTTTAAACTGTAGTTCTAATTTATGTTAAAATTTTAATCTGATATATACTCTTCAAATTCTACTTCAACAGTCATGTCTTCTTCGATTTCTTCTTTTTCTTTCTCTTCTTCTTGCTGGATGTCCATAAATTGATCAAGTAAAAATGAATCAGCAGTCTCTTTATTGATATCACACCAATATTGGTCTATAACATTCGAGCAAGACTGGCCCTGGCAATTAGTACACGCTGGTGAACACAACAACCTTACTCTTCTACAGTCATATTTAGCACTACAACCTTTTTTACAATTGCAAAAAATAGAGTTTAGGAGTTTTTCCATAGCAGGTGGGGGGATAGTTTGAATTGGTTTCAACTCCAGTTCCAACCCCAGTCTTCGGGGTTTAGTTAATTGCCTAGCTATGTCTAAACTTGATAGAGTGCTCGATACAAGTGTTGATGAGCAGAAACCAATGTTGAAGGAAAACGAGAGAGTTGTACTTGTTTCTTGTTCCGTGTATTTTTTACAAAAGTTTAATATCTATACTTGTCTGTACAATAAATTTTCTTTGGAGTTCCATAAACAGCAAGGAGAAAACGAATTCCTTTTGTGATTATTGTTTAAGGAGAAGAGTTAATTTCTTTACATACTCTAGCGCAATCAATTAAATCCATCTTTTCAAATAAATTTAATACTGATATTTTACCACTTCTGAACATTGCTTACGTAGTATCGCAGCCGGTTATCGCATGTAAAGATAAAATATGGTTTAAGCATTTTAGATAAGTAGATAAACTTTTGGAGAGTATATTTCTGTTCACCGTTGAGCTTTTCCAGGTTTTAGAAAGTAAATAATTTTATCCATTGGAGTCCGTGCAGTAAGTAGTACTAACAAATCAAGTTGTTTAATTGCTGTTTCAATTATGAGGGCATCAGCGTCATTTTGACCTTGTTTAACTGCGATATTTTTAGTGGTCACTTAACAAAGAAATGAAACGAGATTAATTATGAATGTTAGCAAAAAATTGTTGTTGGTTTGCTGGAACCGTCATAAATTGATCAAAGATGATGTCGAAAAATGAAGATGTTTTCGTAGTCCGACGACGTTGTTCTGTAGCTTTAATGTTTTTTGTCGACTTACTAAAGCCATCAAATAATACCGTCACTCTATGACCATAGTGTCTGTGTAGATACTGAACGTATTTTTTGAAAATAACATTGAAAGTTTGTTCTCGATCCTACATAACGTCATAGGCGCCGGAATTCAAAAATCGCTTTGGGTGCCCGGCTTCTCTGCGGAAAATGGGGGATGCCCCCCCCCCCCCCCCCCTACACCATCCACACTTTACTTAAAGGCACCACCGATGATTGGAACTATGCGAAAAAATAAGGCAGAAATACCTCCCGAATTTGTGCCACACAAAAATAGAGCTGTGGGGTCATCTTGTCACGGTTTTCAACAAGAAGTGACTATGGTATCATATGTTCCAAAAAAATCAAAAGCCGTAGTATTGCTTTCTACTATGCATGATGAAGGTACAATTCATGAGTCTGGAAAACCGCAAATAATACTTGATTATAATATGACTAAAGGTGGCGTAGATACAGTTGACCAATTATGTAGTAGGTATTCTGTTTCACGTACAACTAGGAGATGGCCGTTAGCATTATTTTATGCTTTACTAAATGTTGCAGGAGTTAATGCACAAATTTTATTTGTAAGTAACCCAAAAAATGAGAAAGCCCAAAGGCGATTCTTTCTCAAAAATTTATCGTTTTAACTAATGAAGCCTCATCTAGAGGATAGATCGAAACTTTTAAATCTACCTTCAGATATTCAATTATTTCTGAAATCTTATAAGCATCCAGAAGTTGAACCCCAAAAAGATGAACCTAGAAAAAAGCGTGGACGTTGTACTATTTGCGGAAAACAAAAAAATAAATTTACATCGATGATGTGTGACAACTGTGACAATTTTGTATGCCAAGAACATAGTGAAACTAGAATTAAATGTGACCACTGCAAAAGCAACAATTTGGTACAAAGCGACGAAGAGGATTAGAAATAATACGTGTGTAAACTCTTTTTAATAAATAATGTATTTTATTTTTAATATTATATGTGAATATAACAAGTTTGTTAAAAAAATATTGCTTTTTTTACTTCGTGCGTAATGGGTTACTCACAAATCTTGTTACGTAATATATTATTTTTTACCGTGAAGTAACTTTTTTATTGGAAAGTCACTCTTCCGTCAAACCGCCCTCGTATTATCTTTGACAATGGGGGGTTTTGAGCGTCAAATTGCTCAAACTTTTCACAAAATTTCAACAATTTCGCAAATTTACTTGTAGTTTGTTTTGGGAATTATTCAGAATGTTGTTAAGAGAATCTATACGTCAGTATTCGCGAGTTCTGGTAAAGTTGCCTATTTTAAGCTGTGCCGAGCGTGTTCTTAAAATTTCTAAGTTAAACAAGAAGTTTCCCGTAGCGAAACTTTA